GAGAATGCTGGACACACAGGCCCCCGACTCTACCATTTCGGGTGTCAGAAGTTGGCCTTGCTCAGCCGTTGAGGTGAGGGCCCCTTAAAGCCAGCGGGTGTAGCTTGGGAACACTGGGCTCTCCTTGCAGCAGCATTCAGCAGACCTTTCCCGGGTGCCTGCTGTGTACCAGGCTGCAGGTGCTGGGGACTCGCACGGGCCAAGGGCAGGTCACTTCAGCTCTCCGAAGTCTGCAGTCAGCAGCTAGAGTGGGTGGGGCTCACCAGCACAGGCATGGAGGAAGGTCCTTACCCAGCCTGGTAAGTCAGGAAGACTTCCTGGAGGAGGGCAGGGTGATCCTGGCTCATGGCTATGAGCCTCAGCCGCTGGACAGATCCTGGCTGAGAGGCATGTCCAAGCTCACGTCCCCAACGGGGGCTTGACCTCCTCCTCCCCAGGCCCTTCTGCCCCTGAGACAGCCAGGGGCTAAAATGACCAAGTGCCGAGCACAGCGCAGCCATCACTGCCCCTCACCCAGCAAGCCTTCATTGGGAGAAAACATTCCTTGGCCACTGCGGGCATCTGTGGCCGAGGGGGCCTGAGGGGTAGGCCTGGGGCTCTGCTGAGGGCCCGCCATCAGCCTTGCAGGATGCTGTCACCTGGGGGCATTTTCCACTCTGTCCTGATCTGTGGGGAAGGCTTGGGAAGGACGCCTGTGGGGCTCTCCGTCCCTGGACCCCATCTCCCCTTTCTCGGTCAGCCCTGAATTTGGTGGAAGAGGATCCGGAAAGAACACCGAACCTACGGCCCCGCCCACTTCCAGCTTCGGCATCCTCGGGGGAAAATGCATTTGCCTCCCACCCCCTGCTCTGGCATGTTTTGTGGGCTGTCATTCACCAGTTATTTTCAAAGCGCATGGGGAGAAGGAGATGACTGTTAGCACGAGAGGGTTTGGAGTTTTATTTTAAAATGCAAATGAGCAGACTGTGAGTATGAGAAGTACAGTGGCTGATTATAGAGTCACTGTCCTCCTTCCAAATTCCTTGAGAAATCAGACATTACGAAACCCGGTCTCTGGAGCAGCCGCTGTTTCTCAAGCGGGCAAGGAAGTAAATAAATTTCCCAGGTTGCGAAAGAGTGGAGGGTGGGCGGCGGGCCTAGGCTCCAGGTTTCTCAGAGTTGTTGCCTGCCTGTGATGTTGGAGATCCTTATACATGCGTTTCCCCCTTTCTGCACAAACCATTCAGGGAAGGAGGTTGGGTGGCGGATGATCAAGCAGAAAAGGAAATACTGAGAAAGAGCCAGACAGAAAGACGCCGAGAGCAGGCCATGTGCCCGGGGCTGCTGAGGACTGGGTGCTGGGCGGCTGGAGTTAGAGCTGTAGTCATTGCTTGAGCTCATGGGCAAGTCCGCGGGGCTGGGGGGCTGTCTGTGCTGTGCTAGGGACCTGCGAGGACACAGGGGTGGGCGTTTCAAGGAGAGGGTAGGCAGGGGGTGGGGAAGGCCTTAGAGGAAGTTGATGCCTCTCGATACGGAATAAACGGGGCACAGGTGCAAGCGGGGAGGTGAGGGATTTGAATGTCATTGCAGGCAGGGAGCATCGTGTGAACAAGGACCCAGAGGCTGGTCAAGGGGGTCTGTTGACTGTGTGTGTTTGGAACGCTGGGGCCTTGGTCATGAGGGAGTTGGCAAGTGGACGGCAGGGCCAGACCACAGAGGGCTGCATGAGGTGTCCATGGGACGTTGGTTCAGGGGGCATTGAAGGGCTTCTTCATGGTCCTTGCTCCAGTTAGAGGCAGCAGGGGAAGGTCCCACCCAAGGGCTCATGGGGCATGATTAGACAAGGCTGGACTGAACGGCGACCAGTTGGGTCTTCTGGAAGGAGGCTGGGGCCGTGGCCTAGTGGGGGTGGCAGTGTGATGGAGTCTGGCTGAATTCACGCAGTAGTGGAAGGCAGGGGGAGACAGATGGCAAGGCGTGGTACCTGGGTGGATGTGGGGGGTAAGGGAGAGTGAAGGGTCGGTTCCCAGACTTCTCCCTTCTTTCTGGCCAGGCACCCTGGCACAGGGGTGCAGGAGGAGGAGCAGTGGGGCACGGAAAGCTGGTTCAGACAGGTGCCCTGAATGCACGCAGTGTATGCAATAGCTGGCTTCCTCATTTAGAGCCAGAAGGAGAGTCACGTGGCTGAGTAGTATGCTTCTTTCTAAGAATTACAGTGCTTAATTCTCTGTTCAGCTTTAAAGAATGTATTTGTTGTTTGGGTAATATTTTCACATGGTTCAAAAATTGTTTTGAAAGGTCAGCAGTTAGAGGTGTCAAATGATTAATCTCCAGCTGGGCTCCCTTTTCCAACAGCTCTCTGTCCAGGGTGTCCCAGCTGGCTGACCTCCATGCCCTCAGTGGATTTTGCTTCCAGATATTGGGGCCCAGGTAGCGTTGGACACCTGTGAACATTCTTCCTTCCAGCTGCTCCCTCTGCCGGGTGCTCAAGGATAAGGGACTTTGGGAATGTCAGTTGCTTTGGTGTTTACTGGGGGCCTGACATCCCTGCAGCTGGAAGGGCTTATGGCAACCATCAGTCACTTCCTCACGGGCAGGGTCTTTCTGAAGGCCGCCTGAGTATGACTCTGGACTTGACCTCTGACAGCAGACTCCAGCACCTCTAGGGAGGGTGGCCCTGGGATTGGGAAATTGGCTCTACACAAAATGTTTCCACATGGTCATTTGGGTCCATTATTGGGATATAGGTTTTTGGCTGTGCTTGACCTCCCTGTGTAGCCCAGAGAGCTGGGTTTGAGTTTCTATTAGTCTGTTTTCTGACTGTGCCTGATGTCACTTTCCTCATCGTTAAAATGGGATGACCTAAGACACCTAATGGATGCTTCAGGAATATGGGTTTATTTCCCCTCATCCTTTGTTATGAACAATGCGGCTCATGGGGCAGGGGCAGCAGGGAATACAGCTGCAGGTGAAACTGTGCTGCTTGGAAAAATGCATTCCCTGGCGTAAAGAATGCCGTCTCACTAGGGAGCCCTCATATACTCTTGTTGGGAATGTAAATTGGTGCAGCCACTATGGAAAACAGTAGGGAGATTCCTCAAAAAGTTAAGAATAGAACTACCATATGGTTCAGCTATTCCGTTTCTGGGTATTTACCCAAACAATACAAAAACATGAATTTAAAACGATACAGTCACATGTTGCG